ATTACTAAAAATATTAAGTTTAACAATATAACAAAAATAGATAATAATAAAATATATTAAAAACTATAATAATATAGTATTTATTATAAAGAAAAAGAACAGTTTATATAAAATAAATAAATGTATTACAATTTAATCAAAAAATCTAAAAATTTATATTTAATAAATTTAATTCAGATAAAAAAAAATTATTATAAATTTGCTAAAAATAAAAGCCAAATTCTATAAATTCAATACAAAATAGTTTTTCAAAATAATATATCCAAAAATACATCAAAAATAACAAAAAAATATATTATACTATGGTATATAACTTTTTTTACAATTATATTCAGATTTTATATTTATAAAACAATTCTAAAATTTTTAAGAATTTGGTCAATATTATTAAGATTAGTATTATCATCTAAAAAAAATCCAAGTTGCTAGTATCATTGCAAATATTAGTATTATTGTCTATATTAAAATTATCTTCAATATTAAAACTATTATTAACAACATTAGCATTATCAATATTAGTAATATTAGTTTTAAAAATATTCAATTTTTCTATATTTTTATTTTTATATTTTTTACCAAATAAATTCAAAGTTTTCTAGTAATTCTTACAATTTTTTTAATTTTTTTTATAAAATATTTATACAATAATGGCACTAACTTCTTAATTTAAATAAAAAATATTTATAGTGATAAGTATGTTCATAAACAAGAATGCAACCTACCTTTTAAAAATTTTTATAGCTTTTTAAATTAAAAAATTGATCTTTTTATAAAAGGTATATTGTATTTCAAGCTATTAGTAACAATTTAGTATAAAATTGAGTTCAAAGTATTAGAAGTTTATACAATTTAGATTTTATATATGCATTAGATAATAATATACCAAGATTCTGATAAATATTTATAAAAAAGTTTAGAAAAAAATAAACAGTACATTTTTTAAGATATTTTAACTATTTTGCTAAATAATTAATATTATAATTTTTAGAAAACACATTTATAAAAGAATTGTTGTTATATGTTTAATTGATTATTTATACTTATCATATAATCTGTTCTGTATTGTTCAACTTCTAAATCTGCTATTAAGTAAACTATGTAAGTTTTCTACATAATAATTATTGAATACATAAATATAATCTATTAAAACTTAAAAAATAGATTAGTTAGTACTAATTTAATAAAAAGCATCATTTAAAAATATTAATAGTAACTTATTATAATGTTTGCATCAATATTAATAAAAAATAACCTATATACAAAACATGATTTTTTTTATGCAAATTAAATTTCTACAACAAAAGATAATAGAATAAAAATCTAAAACTAATAATATAGTATTATTCAGCAAGTTAATGAAATATCAGAATTCTGTATCTTTAGACTTTTAAATTTCTGAAAAATTTTTAAGCACACTTAAGATCAATCCTAAAATACTATTTTTAATAATAAATTAATTTTATAAAGTTTTGATTTTTGTACTAAAATCTTATTATAACTGCATATTTTATAAAAAACTTATCAAAAACTGAAAATTTTTAAAAAATACAGTTTTACAGTTATTTAAGAATATATAAAAGTCCAATTATTAGAACAATTGTTTAATTTGTTCTAATATTTTAAAAGAATTACTAGCCAAATATAATTAGTTATAACTTTTTTATACATTTAATTAATCTGAATAGTCTATAGATACTATTAATATTTGTGTTTTTAAATAATTTTTTATCTTTTAAATGCTTAGCAGATAATTAAGACATTCAAATAATCTTTAATAAAGTAAATAAATTTATGTTTCAAATCTATTAATTTAATATTATCTATGTTTTAATTAATTTTATATTACTCAATTCTGTCATTGTAATAATAAATTAAAAAATACTTTTTTTATTTATTATGTATTTTTGATTCAGATTCCAAATCATTAAATGCCTGCCTTTGCCTAAATATCTAAGTTATAAATAAGAAAATAATTAGAATATGCATTCATTATAATAATATTTGTATTAATACTTTTTTTATTAGAGATGTAATTAGAATTACGTAAGAGAATTAATACCTCTTTTTGCAGGATTTTTAAAAGAATTGTAGCAAAATTAGGAATATTATAGATAGTAGTTGTATAACTGTAACATAATTTATATATATTATAAAAATTATCTAAGTTGAAAATAACTAAGTTATTAATCTAAAGATTGTAATTGTAATTGAATAATCATAAATAAAAAAAAAGCAATTTATATATAATTGTACACTTATATTTTGTAATACAAATTTTTTAATTATTAAATTATATTTCTGTATACTGAGTTTGTGTTTTGCAATAGTTTTATATCTTATTGTTAATTCTACACTTTTTAAAGTTTATATTTCTAATAATAATATTTTAGATACATCTAATAAAAGCCAAACTTTGCTTTAATTTTACTAATAAATTTGTTATTAAGATTTGTAAAAAAAAAATAATAAAATAAAATTAATCACTTTTGATTTTTCTTATTAGTTATATGACTTTTAGGCTGTAGGTTAGTTTTTGCTACCAATTGATCAAAAAAGTTATATAATTATAACTCAGCTACTTTAAGCATCTTTTGAATTCATTTAGATTAAAGATAGGTTTTTTATTATATATAAACTATTTTTTATATAACACATCTATTACTAACTTAATTTTCTTACAAAGAGAGACTAATTCTAAAATAATTATAAATTAAATTGAATTTTAGTTAAAATATAATAAAAAATCAAAATTATTACCTAGTCTTGTTTTATTAAGCTTAATGCATACTTTTAGAATCCAGATCAGAATAGTAATTTTATTACATAAAACATATAACCTATATTAAAAAATTTTATATTTTCTTTTAAAATCTTTTTTAGAGCTAGTGATTAATTAGAAAAATTAATATGTTTTAAGTCTTTATCAGTTTTATATAGACAATAATGGCATATAAATATCTCTAATAAGTTAAAAAATTAATAAATTATTTTAATGTCTTTTTAAAAATCTTTGCTTCTGTATTATTTTAGTTGTAGAAATAAAGATCATATTTTGAGTATGAATATAAATTAGTTTTTTTGTTTTTTTTATATTTACTATTAACTTATTATAATATTTTTGTATAAAGCTTTTTCAACCAAGTTTAAATATTAACTTGAACTTGGTATTGTTATTTTTTCAAATATAATAGTTGTATTATTCTTTTTATAACCATAATTAACATCCTTCTGATCTTAGATTAATGTATTGAAATTTTTTTTTAGTGTGTTAGATGTAATGCTAATTTTATTAGTTTGATATATAGACATTATGCTTTTTATTTTAAGCTAAAAATAGATTTTTAGTATAAAGAAATAGTAATAAATATTTCTTAGCTAAGTTCTGAATTACCTACTCAATTATCAAATTATTTATATTTTTAGTTTTTTTATATTACAACCTTTGCTAATTCTGCCAATTCAATTTTGTAACTGTATATGCTATACCAATATGTAATATATATATTAGAGCTAAGCTTATTATATTGAGTAAAGAAGAATGTAAAGATAAATTACATATTTTAAAAAATTAAACATTGTTAAAAAAATTAAAAAAGTAATTGTAAATAATATTAAATAGTTTTAAGATATAATAAATACAAAATTGAATTGTAAGTAATAAATTTAGTATTATAAATAAAGATCTAAATAACACTTAGAAGTAATATGCTTTATTTGCTTTATTAAATAAAAAGTTCTAATACATTACATTGTACATAATAAATTCTAACACTATTAACATTACAAACTCTGTAAACCTCTATAATCACTGTTGTTAATTTAAGTTCATTATCATGTAACTTATCCAGTTTATCTTTGTTGACTCAAAGTAACTGAAAGCCTTAATCATCCACTAGCTAAATCTAACACCCTCTTTCATAAAGGTTAGTTATTATATATTATATAATAATTTTAATTATGAAGTGACTGAGTCACAGTTTTTTAAATCAGACAATATATAAAGTGATAAATTACTACTTTAGATGTGATATAAATAATAGCAGAAAAAGAAATATATATTAGCAAGAGACAAGCAATTGTTATAAAATTTAAAGAGCTTGAACATATAATTTATAAAAAAAACTTATGACATTAAATGAGAAAGCAATATTGATATATAAATGTTTGGATACACGTAATTAGGAGGTGCCCAACAATGATCAGGAGTACAATGTACAGGGGTCATATTGAATATGGAATGATCGACATCATAATTGGTAATAAGATTATGCAAGGTGAAGTATAATGGCATTAGACTATAAGGCTATTTAGAGCAATTTGTAGTGTATTAGTAATATAGTTTGTATGATGGATAATGTAGATGCACATGATTTTAAATAAATAAGAGGTTCAATATTGAAATCAAACCTCCACTTCTGATTTTCTTAAGTAATAATCTGAACCAAAGTGATAGCTTCATTATACCTATTGTGTCAGCTAGTAGAAGAACATAGCCTATAAGAAGAAGACAGATGATAAGAAAGTGAAAAGCCAGTTAGTAATTAAGTGAGTCAAAGCAATTATAAACATTTGAGTCAAGATGTTGTTTGTCATGTAAAACTACGAACATTCATTAACCCCATGACACAAAAGGACCTGGGCAACAAGCCATCATCTTTCACAACAAACATAACCAGAATAGTTATAATGTATGAAACAGTCAGTAAAGGACATGATACAAAAGAAAAAGAGTTTTGTTAGTAATATAAAAGGAATAAAAAGAGTAATAACACAGATAAAAAAAAATACCTGCCTAGATCAATACTTTGTTCACACCAGAAATAAAAGCAGAGAAACAGTGTATTTAATGAACCAGATAAGGTTGTACAAAGGTAATCAACTAGGACATAGCTATTGTAAACATAAATAATGAGTAAGGACAGTCAGGTGAAACAAGTAGTATAAGAGAAGGAACGTTAATAATAATAAAAAAATATATATATATATATAAATATAAAACTATGACAATGAGCAGTAAAGATCAAATTGTACCTGTATATCATGATGCTGAAGTCGATGACATAGAGAACTTTCTCTTTGATTTTGAAGAATATGATAAGGCCAAGAAGTATAATGAGGACATCCTATGTTCAATAGTGCACTTGCATATGCTGGAAAGCATGAGAACATGTGTTCAGAACCTAAAACAAACCAAGAAAACTTGGCAAAACCTGAAAAAGATAATTATTGAGAGGTAAAGGCTGAAAATAAAACTGAAGTAAGAATTAATTGATTGAAACATCTTAAACAAGAGAAAAGAGAATCAATAAGAGAATATATTAACTGGTATGAAGCCTATGCTCAAACCATAAAAGACCAACTCAGGAGTAATTAGAAATGTGACTAGTATATTTATGGTATAAAGAAACTATATAGATCTAAGGTTGAAAGCACTGCTCTAAAAATTATAAAAAATCCAAAAATAAGACATTAAAGATGAAGGATTATAGTAGAAACAAAGCTCTTAATAAACATAAAGCATCAAACATACCTGAAGAAACTCCACTATTAAGTAAGTCAAATGTAGAACTTAACACCATCGTAAATGGACTTGCAGCACTGAGCATTAACCGTGTGGAACAAAAGGAGAAGTTAATCAATCCGATATTGAAAATATGATTCAAAGTATAGTAGCAAAAACTGTAAAAGATCTCAATCGAAAGCAAACTTGTTTGAACAAGAGAGCCACATCATAAAGAATTGCCAAATCAAAATAAAAGCACAAGTCAAATTAATAAGGGCATAACATTCAATAATGCTGATATATGCTTAGTTGAATTCACTGAAAAAGGCTCTATGAATAGTAGTAAATATCTAAAGGTTGAATTGTTGGATGTGAATGAATATTGTAATGTAAGGGTGTTTGGCAAAAGAAAGAGAAACGATGATGCTCTGAAACAATTGAATCATCTGAAAAAAGAGAAAAAGTTGATATGCGTAAGCAGGAAAATCAAGAAATAAAACTACATGAAAATGTGATATATATACTATTTGCTGAACTATCTGATGAACTTGATCTGTTAAAAAGGGTGTCTAGTATGGAAATCTCCCTTATGCTTAAACAGTTATTCAAGTGGTTGCCCAAAGCATGCTTGGAAATAATGAGGGCCCTAATTTGATACAAAAGCGATAGTACTACTGACCAAAATGTGAAAATTAGGATTGTACAAGGTGTCTTGCATGACAATAAGTCTAAGTCTAGTAAAGTGGTGCCTGTGTGGCCTGTCAAAGTCAACAAAAAAGTAGTAAAAGCCCTGATTGATTCCAGTTCTCATATAAACCTAATGTTGAAAAGATACACTGTAAAAAGAGGGTTGAAATAGAACCAAGCTTGTGGTAAATGCTGAATGGCTAATGATAGGGTCAGTCAGTTTGTAGGTTATATTCCTGATATAGAAGTCAATATGAAAGGTGTTGTAGTGCATCAAGGATTCTATGTAATAGACACAGCCAGTTTTGATGTTTTGTAGGATATGCCATGGAATGCAAGAGCACAGTGCACCTTGGGTTTTAAAGAAACTGAATACTGGTGCACCATTTCTTCTCCTATAAGATCTGCTTCTTTTGTGGTATAAACAGTGCCCAGAAGTTGGATAGGTGAAATTCCAGCAAGTGATTATGATGATAATGCAGATAGTGATGAAAGTGACTATGAAGAGAATGTTGATGATATAATAGTGGTGCGAAGAATGAACCTGGTCAAATTTGAAGAATTGAGTGAAGACAATCTAGCCCAAACTATTTTGAATAAGGCAAAAAATAAGGATAATGTAGTGCAATGACAAGTTAAATCTGTTAATTATGAGTGCCTACATGATTTGGCATTTGAAGATTGAGTAAACTATTGGCATATCAATGATGAAAGGATCAATGGTTCAATTGAAGGAAAGAACACTTTGTTGTATTAAGATTAATAATAAAAAATAGTAGTTTAATAAACCTGAGACTATAGTACGAAACGAACCAATAAGGACTATAGTAATAAAGCAGTTAATAGAGAAAGTGTCTGATGTTTTTGCTTATGAATTAAAAGACATTGGTAAAACATACCTGGTGGAATATGAGGTTAGAACTAAAGATGCTATCATGCCATTTATGTGACTGTAACCGATTAGAATAAACAATTCTGAAACAAGAAGTATGTTCAAAGACCATCTAAAAAAATGATCAAATGTTGTCTTTTGGAAAAGGGGTCAGGGGAGTATGCTTATCATTGTTTCCCTATGCAGAAAAAAGAAGAAGAAACTGACAAATTGAATGCAGTTAGTAATATGAAACCTCTCAACAAGTATATAATTAAAGATAGTTACTCTCTGCCAATAATTTGTGATATTTTGAAGCAAGCTGCTGGTCATGATTGATATTCGTCAGTTGATGTGTTCAAAGAGTACTGGCAAATAGAAATCTGAGAAAAAGACTATAATAAAGTTGCTGTAGCCACTGCTCTTGGAGTACTTCGATACACAGTTATGTGCATGGGCCTAAAGAATGCAAGCAAAACCTTTCAAAGGTTAATGAATCAACTATTGGAAAGTGAATGATGAAGAAATGTAGCTGCTGCATATCAAGATAATGTGAGTATATAGACAAATAGAAGTATGGAAGAGCATTTGAACACATTTATCAAGTTGCCTGAGGTCTTTAAAAAGGTGGAATTAACTTTTGCCATGAAAAAGTGTTTTGTGCTATATAATAAGCTTGAAATATATGAACATATAATAAGTAAAGAGGGAATTAAGATGAACCCAAAAAGGGTAAAAAAGATTCAAGATTGGAAAGTGCCCTGGAATGTTAATGAGATGAGATTGTTCCATGGTGTATTAAATTACTATTAACAGTTTATTAAAAATTTCAGTAAAATTGCAAAACCTCTAACTGACCTGACCAAACATGATGCTAAGTTCCATTGGGGACCTGAAGAAAATAAGGCTTTGAGTTGCTCAAGCAAAAATTAAGTGAAGGTGTTATATTAAAGGCACCTGATTAGTAAGCTGCCAAGGATGGTCTAAGGTTGTTTCATATATATACTGACGCTAGTAATTGTGCAATAGGTGTGGTTTTTGAGCAGGAAGATGATAAAAGACAATTGAGGCCCGACTCATTTGATTCAAGAAAGTTGAATGAACATGAGCTGCATTACACAGTAACTAAGAAGGAGTGCTTAGTGATAGTATTCAGTTGTTATGTGAATAAGCGATATGTAGGTAAAACTGTATTTGAAGTATAAGTGAATCATTGCTTTAGAGTAGTTATTCAATAAGGTGAAGCTAAAAGGTAAACTAATGAAATGGGTGTTGCTGTTGCAATCATTTGAGCTTTAGGTTTTGTATAAGTCTGAAAAGAAACACTGTAATGCAGATGGACTGTCGCATTATACTGACCCACCTATTTAGAATAATCCTACTAACGATAACTTTGTTGAAGGGCAATTGTATAGAATGGGATATGAAAATCATAAAATTAATAACTTGTGTTTAATAAAGCATTACCTGCAACAAATGAGTTGGGGGTCACACGTAGAAGCATGTGACTTACCATGTCTAAAAAGAAAGGTAAAATGATACTGCTTGATTGGTGATAACCTGTACTTGCATTCAAAGAAAGGTGTACCTTCAAAACATGTTGTCTTGAATGACCAGGATAAACTTGAGATTGTGAAGACTTGTCATAAAGGGATGGTGAACAAAGGTGAACATAAAGGTGTCAATAGAATGTTGATGTTAGTAAAAATGGAGTATGCATAAGGATCGGAAAATATGTATAAAGACATCAAGAGGATAGTATCAAGTTGTGAATTATGTCAAAGGTGTGTGCCAAAATTGCCACCAGAACCAGTACATGTACTAGCAACAAGTTGGATCTTTGAAAAAGTGTATGTTGACTATGTAGAGTCTTTGCCCCAAACCATGGTGAAACATAAACATGTAGTGTTGGCAATCAAAAACTTGACTAGTTATATTGAAGAAAAAGTGTTAGTTAAAAAGAATGCTAAAAATATTGCCCAATTCATTTGGAAGAACATAATCTTGCAACATGGATGCTTTACTGCTCTGTTATCAGATAGAGGATCTGAGTTTAGAAATGGGATAATAGAGAAACTATCATCTTAGCTGAATGTGGATCAATGTTTTGTTGCAAGCTACCATCCAGAAGCAAATAGTCATGCTAAACATGTAGTACAGACCTTCATCAGGATCATTCAAAAACTGTATGCAGAATGACAAAATTGGTGGCATAAATATGTATGTAGTGCCATTTGGGCCATTAATATGACTGTGGGTGTCTTGGGTTACTCTCCTTTCTGTTTTGTATATGGAAGGGATGCAATAATGCTGATTAAATTGATAATGAAAAGTTACCATTTGTATATTTCGAGAAGCCATTGATGACAGATGAATTACTTGAATACAAAGCCTTGCAATTAAAAGGATTGTCAAATAAACTGGATAAGGCACAAACAAGCATGATGAATTGAAGTGGTATTGGAAGGAGTTCCATGATCGTTGGACCCATGAAATGGAACCAATTGAGGTTGGTGACTTGGTCTTAGTTTATGATTCGACTCTGGAGACCTGCTCCTAAAAATTGGATTACTGATAGTTCAGCCTCTATAAAGTAACAAAAATTGGAAAGCATAGTCAGTTCTATGTTGAAGAAGTTGATGGAACTAAGCTGAGGAATCCAATAACCAGAAATCGAGTCAAGAAGTTAAAGGTGAATGCGTATGAGCCAGAGTCTGCAAGTAAGAGGGATGAGGATAGAGAAGGGTTAATAAACAAGGAACAAATGGATGAAGGAGAGTATATTTCTTCAAAAGACAATCTGTCAGATTTTTTGGAAGCTTAAAAAAAAAAAAAAAAAAAACAATAATAACATAATAATAATGATATATAGATATAAGCAATAGAAATATATGTGTATAAGTAGTGCATAATAAATGGATTCAGTGTTGATACATAAGGGTTGGTAAGCATAATGATATTCAAAATATTGGAAATTAGGTTATATGAGTCAAACTTTGGGACAAAGTCCTGGGGGGTCTAGTTCGTGATATATAAATGTTTGGATACATGTAATTAGGAGGTGCCCGACAATGATCAGGGGTACAATGTACAGGAGTCATATTGAATATGGAATGATTAACATCATAATTGGTAATAAGGTTATGCAAGGTGAAGTATAATGACATTAGACTATAAGGCTATTTAGAGCAATTTGTAGTATATTAGTAATATAGTTTGTATGACAGATGATGTAAGTGCATATGATTTTAAGTAAATAAGAGGTTCGATCTTAAAATCGAACCTTCACTTCTGATTTTCTTAAGTAATAATCTGAACCAAAGTGATAGCTTCATTATACCTATTGTGTCAGCTGGTAGAAGAACATAGCCTATAAGAAGAAGATGGATGATAAGAAAGTGAAAAGCCAGTTAGTAATTAAGTGAGTCAAAGCAATTGTAAATGTTTGAGCCAAGATGTTGTTTATTACATAAAACTACAAACATTCATTAACACCATGACAAATATGCATATAGATTTTAAGATTATTGTAGATATTATTCAAATAATTAACAATTTATAAAAGAGTGATATAGATGAAGTTAATTCTCTATAAAAATGAATGCATTATTTTTATAGAAGTTTATTATATGTGTTTATTATATGCATATTATTATTTAAAATTTTATAAACTTAATTAAATACAATGAAATTTGCAATATTGTCTTATTACGAAGAGTAAAAACTTAATGGAAATATTTGAATATCGAATCTAATTAATTATATACAAGTCAATTTAACAACCAACCTACCAACAAAATATATATGAGAATAAGAAATAAAGTACTAAAGAGACTAAATTTGAATTAGAAAACTTTATATAAAACTGTAAAATGAAAACACATTGATGTTATTATAAATATTATTACTGCTTCACTATTATGAATAGAGATGGAAAAATTGAGATTTTTTGAATCTACTGTGCAGCCTGCACACCTTAGTTTCTAGAAACTTTTACTATTAGGTTTTATGTTTATATATATAAAATGTCTACTTCATATATATAAAGTTGAGCTACTATTATTTTTAATTTGTGCTCCAAGGTTAGTTTAAATGTCAGGTTTTGTTTTGTATTTTTTTTACTTTTTCTTTGCATCTTAGTAAATTAATAATTCTGGTCAAATTAGCTAATCATTTGGCCAGATCTAGAACAAACAACTTTAAATATGATCACATAATTTGCAAGTTTGATCAGAATTTGAACAATGGATTCTATTAATTAGATGAAACCTGTAATAACACAAAATCATATTGCAGTCAGAATTATGAAAATTGCATTGCACAGCTTCAAAAAATGCCTGTCAGTGTCCTATCTCTAATTATAAAAAGTTCAATATTCTTTCAAGACAAAAAAAAGGCATCAAAGTGTTGAATAAATTTCATACTAATTCAAAAAATTACAAATAACATTAAATATTTCAAATAAGAAAACTTTTTCTGCACAAATTTACTTTTAATTTTTATATATATATATAAAAAAATAAATAAATAAAATTAAATTTAATATAAATCATTCAAACTGAATTTAATTGATTCAAAATACTTTTAAATAAATAATTTGACTAAATAAATAATCTTTAATTATTTTTTTTTATAATCTAGTAATTTTATAAGTTATATGCTTTAATTGAAGTTTAAGCAGTGATTTTAGTAGCATAAAAATTCTTTTATTAGTAAAATTGGTAATATATATTTTAAAATAAAAATTTATAATATATAACCTTGTGCTAGATATACCAGATTTATTTTAAATGAGGTACATCTTTACCCTTAGTTATTAAGAGCAGTTTTGAATCTGTTGTAAGCATATGTCTAGAGCTTTTATTAGTAAAGTGCTATTTATATAATACTTGGATTTTTTAGTATACATTAGTACAGTATATATAGCATGTACAGTATATATAGTATATATAGTAGAATTTTTTTTTATACCATATATTCAGAATATTTATAATCATGCCAAAAACAAAGTATGAAGTATGTAGTATATGGTTTATAGGCAAGTTAATATGCATGTGCAATTCTCAGTACTTAATTGGTCTGTATGACTTTATTTATCATATATTGTTATGCATTGCCTATTTTTCATATGTTACTTTACACCTTATACTGGTAGCTTGACTATTGCATCTATAAATATATACTATATCTACTATATATATATAAGATAAATGAAAATAAAACTCTAAATGTAAATTATTATATATATTCATTAGATTTTAAGGATTTTTTATTTTTTTCATAGCTTTTTTAATTGAGTTAATGAAATAATAATCACTGATTATCAAAGATTTGATATTTAAGTTGCAGTTGAGGGTTTTTAGATTTGAACTGGCACTTGTTAACTATAATTTTTATCATATCTCTTGTTAAGTTAAAATACTATATATAAAATATCATTTACTAATGCTAATGCTAATTGTAATTTGATTTATAGATATTTAAGATACATGCTAATTATTTGAAAATATCAATTATTTTGTTTTAACCAAATATATATGTATCTTATATTGAATTTCTGCTATAAAATAAATGCACACTATGTTAAATTTCTAGTTATAAAAGGAGTATACACTATGCCAAATATGAATAATTCAAAAAACTCAGCCTAAATGATTATTAATATGAACTTTGCTAATTACCTTCTGGTGAGAATATGTAAATTTTTAAAATGGAGTATGATATATGACAGGTATAGTTTACTTAAGAATAAAATAATAGCATACAGTATGATTAGATTATTCTTTATTATGATCTTATGTAGCACTCTAAATAATACTTTAAAAGATAAGTACCAGAAATGAATATTTTTGTATACAAAGTTTTGAAGTTAATAGGTCTATATAACTTATTTATTATTCAATATTTTAAAAAAAATCTCATAAATGAGCACATATATCTGTAAAATCAAAGATGCAATAATAAATAATAATAAAAATAATTTTTTAGGCACAAAAATTAGTGACTCAATGTAAATTTAAAGGCCTTAATTCTAAATATTTTGTAATTTTTAGTTTTTTTTTATCAAATTTTTTTATCAGACAGATAAAATGATAATTACTAATCATCAAAAACTTAATCAAAAAAATTTGCTAATTATTTCTAAATATATAGAAAGCACTAAGCTTATGTTAAACTATTTTCATAGATTTTAATGTTTTTTGCAAAGCCTCAGAATTTTAAATCAGATTTATCAGAACTGGAAAACATTAGCTAACAAACTATATAGCAATTAGTTATAGGCAGAAGTTTGTCTAACTGGCTATTAATTTTACATTATTTATATAGTTAAAGTAATTTTTTTAAAAAATAAAACCTAATCATAATAAAATAAAAAAAATTGTATAGAAGGTTTTATCAAAGCTATAGGACTCTATAGTCAAAAATAAAATCTAATTCTTATTTGTTTAAAAAAAGTTAATATAGTAATAACTTCTCAAAACTTAATAGAATCAACTTATTAATAAGTTAATTTTTTTAATCAGATGAAAATTGGATCTTATTTTTAATTATGAAATTCTATAGCTCTAATGAAACCTTCTATATAATTTTCTTTTTACTTTATTATGATTAGTTTTTATTTTTTTAAGAAGTACTCTAACTGTATAAATAATATAAAATCAACTTGAATTTAGAACTTTTGTCTATAAAGCAATCAGATATTGACTTTATTAATAGGTTTTTAGGCTTAGTTACTAAAATTTAAACTAATATTCAGATTGCAAGTACTATTGATATCTTTTATAAAGAGTCATTTTTAAGAATGAATTGCAATAAAGAATATGATTTTCCATAACTGAAATAGAGCCTGCTAGAAATAGGCAAATCATGGTTTTTTAAAAAATTATATGCAGGATTTATTAAATCTAGATACCACATAGTGAACCTTAATTTTGATTAGTTAACAGCTGTAATCAACAAAATTTTAGTCTGCATTTGTTTAAAATTTGGGTCTGTATAATGGTAAGATTAACCCAGGAAAATATTTCACTTAAGATTGAAAATTACATTTTACAAATTTACAATACATGTGATTTTATGGAATATATAGTACCTAAGATGGGCAAATCACAATTTTTTCAAAAATCCTGTATGAAATTCATTAATTTTACTTAATTAGCAGCCACAATTTTTTTATAAAAAATTTAAGTAATATTGCCTAAATTTTTGTCATTGCTATTGGCCAATTAAAATAGTAAATCTTCATGTATTTTTTGCAAGGTTTAATAGCAGTAATTACATTAAGCACATCCTTGGTTAAAGGTTTCATCAGATCCAATTTTTGTAAGATAATTCTAAATATTATTATTACTACATATGTTATCTATTTTTAAAAAAGTAACTTAATCATAAAGAATATTTTTGTAATAAGTGAAAGATACCAATAATAAAGAAGGTAAATTCTTATCATATATATAAATAAGCATATATATAAAATGGTATGCAAATAAATTTCAATTAGGAAGATAAATATATTAATGCAGATTAGATATTATATTTATGCTAGTTAGATATTATAGTAATGCAGGTCAGATAATTTTATTTTGGGATCATATTAAAAATTCTACACATGCACATCTCTAGTGCCTGCATAGATTTCTTCTGTTTCTGGTTTTGTGCAACAACATTGCACAACTACTTATTTGGAAACTTATAAATATTATGACCTAAACTTCAGAACTTAAAAAATGACTGTCAAAATTTTAGCATACAATACATACAGTACAGTATGTATAGTACAGTATATAACACATCACTAGCCTTGATACAGCATTCAAATAACTTTATGTTATTTATAAATTTAATCCACTTCTCAATTATCATCTTTAAAGTACTTTTTTTTTATACATCTGCTAGGTTCAATAACAAAGATAATGTACTTAATAATACTCATTTAGAACATGTTGTAATCTATCTCTTACTTTATATATAGATAAAAA